ACACATGCACCTGCATTTATGCATATAAATGCATACATATACATATGCACATATGCAAAAAACAAAAGAAAATGGAGAGTTGCGGAATTCCAAAGTTGGTACATCAATTGAATTATAAACAGTGCCCATATTATTACCATGCTACAGTGACATTGTCTGTGTTAACAGAATGCCTGTATTTCTATTGCATGTGCACTGGACCTCTCTGAGTGCGTCAGTGACCACTGTTGATGGCACTTTTAATGTCGTTGTTGTTAGCATTTAAATATCTCATCATGCCTTAAGATAGCATGATGTGAGTCTTCACTAAGTGAGGCTGTTAGCACAAATGCAGAGGAGATAAACTGTCAAAAAATAAAGAGCAGAGGTATGATGTGATCCATGTGATAGTTTTCAAAGGCCACACAATCACCACCACAATCCTGGACATTAATTTATGAAACTAACTCAGGAGACAACAAACTTTGCCCTTCTTGTTTCCAACAAACAACAAAAGGAGAATAAAGTAAATAATTTAGGCTGTAAAGGCTGCAAGGTCTCTGTCAAAACTATTCAAGTCTGCTGTTGCAGCTTTGAACGTAGCCAAGAGCACAGCTGTGTTCCAATAAATCTTAATTTATAAAAAGCAGCAGCCTGGATACATTTTACGGCTACAGTGTTCTGAACTCTATTCTCTGTGTGGTCCCTCCTACCCATTATTATATATTTATTTACTTTTTATTTTACTTACATCTCTCTCTCTCTCTCTCTCCCCCTTCCCTCGCTCTCTCCGTGTGTGCGTGCACACATTTGCATACACTGCACATGTGTGCAGGTTATGGGACAACCTGTGGAAGTCAGTACCCTCCTTCTACTACCTGTGGCCACAAGACTGAACCCAGACTACCAGGGTTAGGGGCAAACACCTTCTCTCAATGAGCCATCTTTTCAGACTTTGTTTTTAGTTTCGAAGCGGGTCTCACTCCATAGCCCAGGCTGCTCCTAAACTCTCAGCCACCCTGTCCCAGCCCCCCAAATGCTGGTTCCTTCCCGTTTAATTTTATCACTTCACAACTCAAGAACAGTACACGCCCCACCTACAACTTATTTTCCATAAAGCTATTTTTGAGAAAGGAAGAACGTTCCATAAAAACAGAAGCATTTTAAACTACAAAAGCTTTGTAAAAATTGTCAAGAAAATGGGAAGGAGAGAGAATAAAGCTGTGGCTGGGCTACAACACCAAAGCCTCAAAATTCTCCGTCTGATTTGTAGTGATGATTACAGAACTATTTATTTATACTTCACAAAATGGAATCATCAATTTAATTGTATATAAGTAATAACTCAATGAAGTTGATTGGAACAGCTTAAAGCTTAACTGGTAGTCTTCAATTTACAGTAATTGTAGATGCATATGTAAAGAATATATATCCCTTCCTTTACATTTACTCCTTTGAGAAAATGGGTTATGAATTATGACAGCCTGCTCTATGCGTATAACACAGGAATTCTGTGGCACCAAATGCTACTGTCCCACTCCAAAGTCCTGGCACTATGCAGACCTCGACCACTTAGCTACCTGAGATGGAGTAAGCTGCTTCTTATACACCAGGATAAGCCCAAGTCATAGGTTAGTCTCACATGGTAAAAAGGAAAAAAGACAATCCAAGTGTCCTACCTCTTGATACAACAGAAACATTATCATCTACAAAGTTCATACTGGAGAACTGTGTATCAAGTCATACACACAGGCTAAAATCATCATCATCATCATCATCATCATCTCCAAAGTACTTGAGTTTATTATTTTGTGCTAAGCTGCACTAAGAGATGTCATGGGCTTCATGGGCCACAGGCTGGGCATGACTGAAAGACAACAGGCCACACTGTAAACTTTTTAAATTTACTCATCTTTACTAACAACACTTTACATCCAAACTGACTTAGAACCACAAGCTGGCATGAGCCTTGACTCCTTGTTTTGGGTGAATTTGCTCTAACCTGGAGCTTGTCTACATTACATTCAGATAATAAATGAATGAATGAATGAATAATGCAAGAAGAGGCTTTGATGAAAAACAATCAGAGGAGAATACAGGATGCAAACCATTGATAACTGATATAAAGGTAAACGTATACCCAAAGATGCTAAAAGCCCAGTTACCTGCTTTCTTGGTGTCCTAGCACTTGATTGCCTCCATCATCTCTACCCAAGATGAGCTCAGGAGACCCGCTCTTCCACCCCCCACCCTCCCACCCCAACCCCCGCAAGACTTGGTCAACCAGAACTCCAGGAGTGGGTCCACTAGTCTATGCTTTAAAATCCTCCAGCTGTTCCTGATGTTGACTAAAATTTCAAGACCACTAATTCAAAGCTTGGAAACTAGCAAGCATTGCCTTTCCAAAGTCCCTCATGTAACTTAGAGCTGACTTCAGATCTCACCCCCTGGGTAAGTCGGGATCAGTGCCCAAGGGCACACGCGCATTAGTACTTAGTTAGAGTGGGGTCTATTAAGATGGAAGCAGCCAAATGGAAGCCATTAAAGATGCCTCTACCTGGGACTACAGTAAAGCAAAGCCATTACTGCATCCCTGGGGAGATTGTGAAGATGAGAGCTACCATCAAGGCCACAGGGGTGATGGCTCCAACCATATCTCCATTTAAGTCTATTTGGCCTGTGCAGCTGGTGGACACTGGAGAATGACAGTTAACTATTGTGAGTTGAATCAAGTGGGAACTCTAATCATGTACAAGCTGCACTTGCCTTGATTGAATAGATTAATACATTTCCTGGTATCTAATATGTGGATGTCTTTTCTTTGTATCTGACCATAAGACCCATCAGAAGCTACTGGTTTGTTTTTTTTTTCAGTTGGTATCTTTTACTACATTATGAGATGTATTTAGAAGATCTCATAATGTATTATGAGAGGGCCATAAGCCCTTGAGGACTAAGGGTAGAATGTTACAGTTCAAGATGTCTGGGTGTCACATTGATAAAGGATGAGCTTGTTTGTCCTCGCTGTCAACTGACTGGATTCAGAGGTGGTTGGGACATACAATTCTAGGTGAGGCTGGGAGGATATTTCCAGAGAAATTTATCCAAGAAGGGAAGACATGCCCAGAGTGTTGGTGGCATCATGGCATGGGTTGGGATTCTGAATTTAACATAAATGGAAAAAAGAGAAGACCGAATGAGCACCAACATTCATATCTCTCTGTTCCCTGCTAGGAAAGCAATGGGACCAGCCACCTTACAATCCTGCCACCACACTGTACTCCATCTCTTCTTAAAACATAAGTAAAATAAATCTTCCTTCCAGCTTTGACCTGGAAGTACTACCCCCATTGAGGCTTCCATAACTGTCACACCTACAAGGTGGGGCCGAGACAGGAGCCCTTAAGACCCGAGATCTGGATGTGCCAGCTCTCTTGGTTCCTGGATCCTGGATGCTGGAGGTAGACCGAGCAGAGTTCTCCAGAGAACACCGCCGGACTGCGCTACACCTTTTTTGGATCCTGTAACCTATCCCTTCACTTGTAAGTTACCCCACAAAATAAACCTCCCTTTTAACTATGTAGAGTTGCCTTAATACTACAACCAATAATTCCTTAAAGTTGCTTCTGTGAGGTATTATATCAGAGTAGTGAGCAGAGTAACTAATATAGTCATCCTCACAGACATGCCAGCCTAGAAAAACAGGGAGATGTAGCCAAGTTCTTTATAATTTGTTTAAGGAGCAGGATGGATATAAGAGCAAACCATACCTAGATTCGATTCTAACACTCTGTGAGCACCTACCACGTGCCATGCCTGTACTAAATAAAATTATCTTGTTTAGTCCTCCAATAACATTGCAATCTACTATATGTCAAGTGTATACAGCTAAGTAGTCATCAGAATGGTGGGCGTACAACTTGCAAATCAACAGAAATGCAACTCTCCAACTAGTGTCCATTCAGAGGCATGACTGGCATGCTTTGAAACTCAAGGTACTTGTACATGAATGGTCCTATCATTTCTTCTTTGGTTAATTGCTCTCAGAGTTCATTGTATGCCACAATTAAAACACCAGGTTGTTTATAGAAAACTATGTGTAGAGTGTCCTTTTAAGCTGTCCTAAGGTAATTATGGATTGCTAGTCTGTGCCCTTGACAAACACTCCTAATCACCCAAGGCACTCAAGCCGGAGCCCATGAATTATTCCTAAGGTTCGGATTCCTTCTGAACAGCATTTCAGGCAGTGGAAAGTATATGCTTATTGCGTATCCCTTATCCAAACTGCCTGGATCCAGAAGTATTTTGGATTAGCGAACTTTTCATATTTTTGCAATATTTGCACATATATAATGAGATTCCCTGGGATTAGAACCCAAGTGTAAACACTAAATTCATTTCCTTTTTATATAGACTGTATACTTATAGCCTGAAGATCATTTATATACAATACTTTCAGTTTACCTTGTTTGGACTGCTACCCACCACATAAGGTCAGGTATAAAGTTTGTCACACAGCACTTTAGGTCAGTATTAAAGAAGTTGTATACTTAGGAGAATTCCGTGGTCTTGGGGATTAGTTTCCAGACTAGTAAGATGTATTTGTTTTAGTTGGCCAATCAACACGTTCCTTTTCTGTGATCCTTCCTGCCCCAATTACAGCTTTAAGTCTCCCTTCTTATTGTTCTGAGAACAATAAGTAAGCTTCAGTTAATCCTGAGAGCAGCCTTTACAAATCTCTGCCACCCCAAGGGCCTCAATCATGGCAGATTAGACCGAACAGTTTTAGCGATTTGAAAGCAGTTGTAACTCAGCGCATAGTACAAAACTGCTTTGAAAATCAGAGAGCCAAGCAAATAAAGCTGCTGAGCAGATAACAAAATGCCTGTGAAATAGTATTCTATGGGTATCACTGGGAAACGTACAGTGAAGAGCTCAGGGAGGCTGATTCATAATGCCAGGTTTATAAGCATGGAAACATGGCTTGAGTAAATAATTCTGATTTTGCTTTTGATACTCACTGATGATTCTTTATTCCATGAAGGGGGCACCACACTGTTCCTTTAGCAGCATCTCCATTATTCTAATTCCCTACAGAGAGAAGAAAGAAAAATCAAAATGCCATCTTTCATAGACAAGCACCATTACATTTATCACAACCTTTTCCCTTCAGGGAATCCGGGTCCCGACCATATATATTCATTGAAGAAAAGTGGGCTCAGTCATCCCTGACATTTTTGTAATATTTCACTCAGCAATCCCCCTTCTGCTTTCCCAGCATGTTCTCGGAGCTGTTTAGGAGGTGGGCAGAGCGGGGTTTGGAATCTGCTTGCAACATCAGAAGGCAATCCAAGCCAAGGTAAGCAATGTCTCACAAGTGGCACAGCTTGCCAGAGTTGGGATAATGGCAACTGTAAATGTTTGCTAAATGGCGACAATTGTGCTGGCTTCACTGCCAAGGTTCATGCGTGCTGGTACGGGCAGCAGGTGCTACCATACCCCACTGAGATGCTCTCCAAGATGAAGGCACTCTTTCCCCACCCACAAGAACCTATTATGGACCGCTGCAGGCACAAGGACATCTCAGCCAAGGCACATCATTACCTGAGGTCATGCCCTCTCTCCAGTGCCAGCCCATATCCTATGACTGGTGGATATGAAGACATAATGACTCTCTTCTCTCAATCGCCAACAACTGTGAAGGGTATGCACCCCCATGGCTCTCCGTGGCATAGCTGAGACCTCTGCTGCAGCTGTATCTCAGCCAGCCTCCCTGGTTTCCCTCCTTACAGAGATGCTCCCCACAGCCCTCTCCAACACACTCTATACATACATCCCCACCCTGACACCTTGTTTGATACAGACAAAACCGCTTTCCTGGTTAGAACACAGATGTTCAAAGAGGTTTAAGTGTGCGCCCAAAGCTCTCACGTCATGATGCCAGGGAAAAGCACAGGCACTCCACCCTGGTTTCAGCCACACACACCAGTCTTCTGCACTGTACATTCCATGACTTCCCATGCCACCTTGCCCACCCTTGTTCTTAAAGGAAAGAAGATGGCAGATACCCCTGTCCTACTTTGGAGACCAGTTCTGCAGGCTAGAGATTAGCTTGCAGGGAAAGATGGGGTTGAGGCATAACTATGAGGTAAGGTCTTAAAGACTGCACAGCTGGATCCAGAAAGAAAGGGGCCTGCTGTCCACAGAGACTAGAAATGTCGAGAATCGTAGCAATGAAAAGAACTTTAAAAAGGTTCCCCAGGCCTCTCCCAGAAAGGCAGGTTTAATGGGACTCGGGTGGAGCCCCAGTGTTCTGTACCTTTGACAACCTCTCACATGATTCCCTTAAGTTCAAGCAGGGCTGGGCAATGTTGAGTTGGCCTACAAAAGAAGGGCTGGGACCCACCACTGGTGCTTGTGTGAGACAGGAGACAAGGACTGGAAGGAAGCAAAGGCATCACTAGTGAACACAATAAAACAGAGGCTTGGAAAGTGACTGCGTGGCTGAAGTGCTTGACGAGAGAAGATGGGGACCTGAGTTCAAACTCCCAACACATTCTTTTAAAAGACCAAACAAACAAACAAAAAACGGTGACCACACATCTGTATTTCCAGCACTGGGAGGCAAGAGAGCAGAGACAGAATTGTCAATTCTAGACAAATCCATGGGCTCCAGGTTAAACAAGAGACACATCTTGAAAAGATATGGTGGAAAATGGTCGAGGAAGATGCCTAACAGCAACTTCTGACCTCCACATGCATGCATATACATGTGAACCTTGTGTGCACATTAGCATACCCACATGAACATGAACATACATCATACACACACACACACACACACACACACACACACGCACATGCACACGCACATGCACACACACACGCACACCTTTCACACCAAAGCAGAACAAATGAGATATGATTCTGAAAGACCTTCCAGCTCTGCCAGGGCCATCACCCCAGACAATGCTGCAGTATTAAAGGATCATGACAGAGGCTAAGAAGAATGGTTTGTCAGATGAACCAGGAGAGCAAACCAAAGGACCAGTAACAGTCATCTGAGCCAGGAGACTTGGACCCTATTTACAGCTCACAGCCTTTCTAAAGCTGGGTTCCTTCAGATGGTCACTTTTACCAAGAAGTGCCTTTGACTACCAAGGTCAGGGACTTTGAGGCCATCTACTTCCAGTATACCAACTAGGGTTACTCACAATAGAGATTACAGGCTCCTCAACTCCAACAGTGACTTCCATCAGAATTCCAGTGCCAGGGCCTGGAACTGTGCATTGATAACACCCTTTGGGAGATTCTGAAATGCAATTTCCAAGGATTTGTAAATAGTAGCTTTGTAACATTTCTAAGGTCCCCTCCAGCTCTGCCCATCTGGGCATGATGAAGCAGGCTCTCTGTAATCACACCTGGAGATGTTCTCTCAAACTTTACTTTGAAAGTTAGTCTCCTGTTGGGGCCAGAGAGATGGCTCAGTGGCTAAGAGCACTAGCTGCTCTTTGTAGGGGAACTGGATTCAATTCCCAGCACCCACATCAGGCAGCTCACAACCTCCTGCAACTCCAGCTCCAAGGGGACCCTACACCCTTTTCTGGTCTCCTCAGACACCTGCACTCACATGCATATATGCTCACATACACATATAACTAAAAATAAATCTTAAAAAACAAACAAACAAACAAAAAACTAGTCTCCTCGAACACTGGGGAAGAAGTGGGGACCAAGGGTACAACAACTAGTAAGATAAAATCTACCAGATCAGGATAGTGTTCACTTCCGTGTTCATTTATTCAACAATACACCTGACTAATATTTATTGTGTGCCTACTATGTGCACTGGATATTAAATGGTAAACAGCTAAGAAAAAGTCCCTGCCCTTTACAGGGAATTTTCTTTCTTGTTTCATTTTTTTTTTCTTGTTCCAACAATCCCTCCTAAATAATTACATGTCCTCTTGTTTCCAGAAAGAATAAAAACTGCCACATAAATTCTTTTTTCAAACTTACATTTTTCAGAGTAGCTGTACACATCTGGACAGTATGTCTTTAAAACAAGGAAAACACGTTCTTTCTTGGGAAGAGAGAACTAACCCGTAATCCATCTCATCCGTCTAAATTAAGACCTCCACCATTTACCAGGCCACTAATTGACGTAAATAAAGATTCCAAGGTTTGCTCTGGGAATTCAAAGACGATGTTTATTGAATCAATTATGTTCACAATGTGACAGTTGATTTTTCTTTCCCTCTCTCCCCCTCTCATAGCACTTTACTCTTAAGAAGAATGGTTAGATATAGAAAGGGGAGCGTGAGGGCAGGGGAAAAGGCTTATAAAGTGAATTAAGAAATAGAAAACTCTGAATAGTAGGCTAGCCATTATTTGGCACCTCTCTTGGTAAGGAGGGGCCAAATCAAAGCCCAGTCGATAGTACTTTCAAATAAAGTTCATTCTAACACTCAAATCTCACCCCAGAGATGCGACTTAAAGAGGCTAAATTTATACCCCTTATCACACAATGAGGCCTGCATGCAGAGTAAACATTAAGTGCATCCACCTTTCGGATATGCTTTAAAAGCTTTCTGGGCTGACAAACCATAAACCCGCTTGATTTTATTATCTCTCTGCCCTCGGAATGGTTTTTCCTCTATTACTAGGCCATCTTTCCCCATTTGTCAATGCACAGGCAAGTAAGCCATCTCAGGGCCTCATGTCCTAATGTCAGGACAGCAATGCCTAAAGGTACTCCCATTTAGTCTCAGAGCCTTTCAGGTTGGAAATCCTTCACAAAAACCCTTCTCTGTTTCTGAGAAATCACTGATTATTACTGCAAGACCAAACTGTGTCTTCAGGAGAGGTAGAATCAAAGATGGCTAGATCTAGATAGGGTGTTTATTTTATAATCAAGTTGATGCTCCCTTAATGAATGTCTGATTTACCTGGGAGGCTCCAAAGGGAGTCATATTAGACCTTACAAAAATTACAGACACCGGAGCAGTTCCCCAAAGGCATACCCATGCCGAGCTCCTAATAAGAGAGCTGCTCACTTAATTATCACAGTAATAAAAATTGTGTCAAAGACCCCACTGGAAAGAACTTCCTTCTTGTGATTCATGGCTTTAGAGCAAATACTGCCTGAGCTAGCTAAATTTTTGTCAACTTGACACAAGCCAGAGTCATCTGAGAGGAGGGAACCTCAATTGAGAAAATGCTTCCCTAAGACTGGCCTGTAGGCAAACCTATGGGGCATTTTCTTGACTGGTGATTGATTGATGGAGAAGGGTCCAGCCCATTGTGGGTGGTGCTATTCCTGAGCAGGTGTTATTAAGATATAAAAAAACAAACTGAATAAGCCATGAGGAGCAAGCTAGTAAGTAGCATTCCTCTATGGCCTCTGTTTCAGTTCCTGCCTCTGGTTTCCTGCCTTTAGTTCCTGCCCTGACTTCCTTCCATGATGGACTGTGATGTGGAAGTGGAAGCTAAGGAAACCCTTTCATCCCCAAGTTGCTTTTGGTCAATGGTGTTTTATCATAGTAATAGCTAACCTAATTAAGACACTGTCCATAGTACCAGCTGCCACTGTGTGTATGAGGCTTCATCTAGCAGCACAGAGATCCAACAGGACATGATGGATCACTCAGGATAGGACACAACAGGACACACACTCAGAGGTCATGGTCTCATGGAAGAATGAAAAACAACTGAGAGGCAAGCCAATCTCTGAAAAGTGTTGCAACTTATAGAAAAGGGGAAGGAGTGGTCAGGTACACAAGAAGAGACAAGTCGGAAGAACAACCAGAGGAGGAGAGATATGAGTAAACACCAAAGTAGCTTCTGAGCCACAGACACCAGAGAAGGTAAGAGGGACCCCAAGAAGGTTAGGAAAAAGCCTTGGAGCAGGGAGCTGCATAAAGCACTTTCGCTGTTAAGCAATTACCACAGGAAACTGGACAGAATAGGGAAGGAAACAGGATGATTATACAACCCATCTTCCAAGTTCCTGGTTCCCCACCCCCCCACACACACACATATTCTCCTTAGCTCCACTTCTTCCTGGAAGAGACAATAGCACATAAAACCTC